TGCTACCTTTCTTTCCGGGTATCGGTTTTCAATATTTTCTGTTGTGAAGGCTTCCAACCTCCTTATTCTGTTCTGCCCTCTCTTTGAAGAAGTAGTCTTCATGATAGTCCTCATAAACAATGCCACAGGTTCTAATATCAGGGAAAGAAGAACCCGAGGCAGCATTATCCCCTGCTATGGTAGCTGTAATAAGAGTGTTCAAACGTGTCACTGGTCTATCTGAAGGTGAAGATGATGTCAACTTACCTGGAGTTGCTGGGGCTGCATTCTGCTCCATCAGACTACTCGTAGCATCAACACAAGCTGTGAACTTAATAGGAAAGCAAGGGTCTTTAATCAAGCCTATCCAGCAAAACACTGGTGCCTCCATTCGAGTTCTTTCCAATGGTACTTCTTTGCAGTCTTTATTCTATTACTGCTTGAGTTACTAGAATTACTGTTAAATAAGTTACAGGGGTTCACTTTAATCTATATACTCAGATGAGATGTCAATCTATGCGACTTCGGATGAGAGAATTGTGGAAATTCAAGGTGAAGCTCTTAAGGTTCTCAAAGCTTTAGAATCAGTGATTGGGCACCTTAGAAAGTTCTTGGTGGATCAGAGCGTTCTTCCCTTGTTTGAAAAGAATGTAAGCCTATGCCTTTTTCCTTTATCAGTTTGTTATCATATCAATGTTCTTTGATATGCTTATCCTTGTTGTACTTGTTCTTTCTGCAGTACAATACACCTGCCGTTCAGGAGCGTGAAACTGAGCCTTGGTCTGAGAGGACAATGCTTAATACCTCACGGCCAGGACTTGGTGATTATCCTCCTCGATCAGGACTTGGTGATTATCCTCCTCGATCAGGACTCGGTGATTATCCTCCTCGATCAGGACTTGGTGATTATCCTCCTCCAACAAAGAGGGACTCACTGTTTCCCGAACGTGAAAGCCAGCTGGACTCACATTATCATTCTACTGGACTTTCACTGTATGGGCAAGATCTTGGACTTTCTGGAACTCGCACTTCAGGTGTGAGTCGTGCTGGGAATTCTGTTATTACTCAGGTTTGTGTCTTTACCATCTTACTTTACAGTACAGAGCTGTCTTGTATGTTTTTGACCAAAAAGCAACTTCAGTAAGAGGATTTCTCTTCTCGTCTATTTTCACATGGTATGAGAGCTTATACAATCTTCTTGATAGACACTTAATTAATATGGTCGGGGGTTTAGACTGTCTGATCCAACAGTTTTCTTTCTTTCCGTGAGTTCTTGTTTCTTACTTCTTTTTGGGTGACTGTTCCTGTGTGTTTGTGGCACCGGCTCTTTAGCAACCTTTCAAACAGAGAAGTTTTCGAAACCTTTTGTCTTCTTTTTCTTTGTGGTATTAGAGTAGGGATGTTACTTAGACTCTTACATCAAGTTTCTGTTCCATAAAATCCTACTCTGGTCTTTTCTTAATGGCATCTTGTCCAATTATAAGTACCTCCGTTGACCATTGAATTTTCGCTCACTGTTTCAAGAGTTCTGTTTTTCTTCTTTTTGTCGGGGTATTAAAATCAGGCAGCGAGTCCCTCCTCTGAGCATTGTATTTCCAGTCTTGTTATAGCAACTTTTTATTTCATTTCTGCTTTCAATTCAAGCTAAACTGATGAAGTCCTGGACATTTGCATCCCGTTACTTTTTATATGAGAAGATTTCTCTGTGTTTATACAAATAAGCACTTATCTTTTATATTGCGCAATTGCTATGGCTTTCCTGAGAAAAGAATCTTAACATTACCTTTCTTTGCAGTGATTTTTTAGTATTTCTTGTTCAAAGTAAAAAGAACTCAATTTAACTAATTATCTTTAGTTCGTGTGGAGTGTTGAAAGTGGTTCGAAATATTAAAGTTGTTATTAGAGTCTGGTAGCAAGTCTTCTTATTAGAGTCTAGAGTTCCATTCATTGTTCTCTGCAACTTTGGGTTACTCTTGGAGTGCTACTTTCAAATCCCAGTGGAGGCAAAAATGCTAGGTGCAGTTTAAGATCTCTTGTCTGCAATTCCCTGATATTTTCAGTTCAAGGCATTCTAATTATAATAGACCTGTATAAGATTAAAGGGACAAGTATGAAGTCAAGTGACGTTGTTAAGTGAGAATACACACTGGTGGTGACTTTTATGTTTTTATTTGGAAGGGGTGAAGTGCTCAAGCGAACTAGATAGATTGGTAGAAATTCCATGTTTGCTCTTGAGAAACATTTGCTAACTGTGTACTGTACTATTTTTCTTTGCTAAACCATTCAATCATCACAAGCTGAGTATATGTAGCAGTATGTTATCTTAACGGTGTTTGTAAGTTGTGTGATTAGTTGCATTTGTTTTTTGATCTAAAAGCCTAGACCTGTAAAATTGTTAATAACACTTCCCCTGCTTCTTATGCTAGTTTTATGTTCTCTGCAATGTATGAAAAGTTACTCTGTTATGTCATAAACAATATACTTGTTTCTGGCGACCTCATCTTGGTTTCCGTTTCAGATATCCCAAACTGTTCAAATGCAAATACCACTAGCTTATGCAGAAGATATCATTGGCATAGGGGGAGCAAATATTGCTTATATACGCCGTACTAGTGGTGCCGTTCTTACAGTGCAAGAAAGTAGGGGTTTATCTGATGAAATCACGGTGGAAATAAAAGGGATGTCATCACAAGTTCAGACAGCCCAGCAGCTTATCCAGGTAAATCTCAATTTAAAAAAGACATCTAGTTGATATGTAAATACTCCACATCTGATGCATCTAAAACCTGCGAACTATATGTGATTGAGGAGTTTCCATAGTATTCTTCTGAATTGCAAAACAACTGATGAGTGAATCGTCAATGTAGGAATTTATGAGCAGCCACAAAGAATCACTTCCAAGCAGTTATGGCCAGTTAGATACAGGCTTGAGGCAATCGTCTTACTCTAACCTTGGTGGTGGCTCTTATCCATCATCTTCATACGGCGGACATCATTATGGTGGTGGCTATGGATCATTTGGTGCTGGAGGAGGATACAGTAGCTACAGGTCATGAACAGAATAGCCGGAGTCTTAGCACTCGTACTTCCCTTCCTGTTTGTTCTTGTGCATCTGATGCCAGAGCAAACACTGAATCAACCGCATGTGGTTCCATGCTTTGTTAATCTGATATCGCATACAACAATGTATTGATAGCTTTTCCAGTAGCCCACCATAGCTTGTAGTTCTTGCATGTGTATCGATATGATACCATTGAATCTTTCGTTGATTTATTTATACTTTAAGCTTCGTTTTGTAAATGTTGCAACTTGTGACTTGCACAAAAATGATCAGTTGCAATTGCTTCTCCAGAGGGGTGGTAGTTTTTCAGATATTTATGAATGAACCTTGTCAAATTTTGTTGTTTATAGCGCTTCTTTTATGCTAAGTTTGTCTGTCAAAGGTGAGAGCATTCTTATCCAACTTCAAACTGGGTATGTGCTAATCTTCTGCATCGAATTCTAGTGGAAACTCATTATTGTTTTGGGGTTCGAAGTGAGTTATTTTGTGGAAGATAAATGTGGAAAATTCTTTATTAAAAGTAGCGGTGGATCTCTTCGGCTTGAGACGAGTGACTTTCTGCTCCTCTCCAGTAAGTCAAGTGGGTTTTCACTCCTCTACGGTAAAGTCAAGTGGCTTTCCCTCTTTATAGAGAGTTTAGATAACACTAGTTTTCATAACAATGCTTGGGCCTGCGGTATAGGGAGTTTAATTGCTTTGACTTCATATTTTTTACTATTTCCTTCTAAACTTTACATTAGTATTAGCAACTTTTATGGCTTAATCCCCAATTTGAAATGACTATGCAACTTTTTCGAAGGTATAACGGTGAATTTGCACAAAAAAAACCCTACTATTTATTTGCTCATTAAGAAAATTTTAATGTTCCTTGGGAAGTGATTCCTATCGAAAATGACATGATGCTCTTTATAAAATGCTTGCTAGAAAAAAAATCAAATTATATTCTCTAGTCAAATATACAAAAGATGTATACTATACTAATTATGCATTAATATATAAAAAATATTTTTTTATAGATCGTTATTTTAGTTGTGTAGTTTTTTTTTCTTTTATAAATTTGATTTTAATTTTATATCATTCTTACACATAAGAAATCTTCATATTTACATACAAATTTATATATTATCAGCCATAATTTTAGTTTTGTAGTCTATTACAAACTTGTTTTAAATTTTATGTCATTTTTATATATAAAAGATTTTTTTTATCTTTATAGATAAGAAATTTAAAATGATCACCACGCAAGACTATTTCTTCTTATAAGAAGCCAACAACAATATAAACAGATCACATATTTACCTAGTAAAGAGACAATTTAATGATAAATATTCAAAAATACATATTGCAAGTATATTATGAAAGACCAACCAGGATCTCGAGTTTGAGTTCCTTTGAATTCGGCCGCGGGATCCAATATAACAAGGGCAAATCACAAATGAATAGTAAATCACAAAATAAAAAGATTATATTTTTCCGCCTCCTTAAACCTCAGTATTTGATTCAACCCTTCCTAGATTGCGTCAATCCTCAGACAGAAATTTCATTTATGGTATCCATCTTCTTCATTCCTTCAAATCAATGACAAGTAATTGTTTGATTCTTGTTTTTTTTTTTTTCTATTTCCCTTCACCCATTTACTATCTGCACTCTTTTTCACTCACTTTCTTGACTAATTATACTGAATGGTTCTTGGGTTGTTTCAAGATTGTTACTTTTTCACAAATTACATATGCAGGTATAGAAGTATAGGTTCAGATTTGAAAAGGGTATTGAGATAGTAAGTTTTTAGTAATCATGCTGCATAATTTTCTGAGTTTGAGGTGGTCTGTAGTTAAGAGCTAGCAGTTGTAGATAATTATAGTGCTCAATTTCATACCTGTTTGGATTTCTTTAGTTTATTTTTTGATAAAAGATTGCTTTTTTATGACATAGATGTAGTGGAAGCGAAAAACTGGGGAGGGGATTTTACAAGGTGAGGAATCGAGTAGCCAACCAACTGAGCATCTAAGATCCCATATGCATTTTCTTTTTTTTGCTCCTAAATGAGGCGAAGAACCTTAATTACGAGGTCTTTGTCAATATTTAAGTCACAATGTCAATATTCAATTAGTTTTTCATCCATTGCCTACAAGTCTTTTGATCTCAAGACTTGCATTGTATCACTTCAATCATGTGCTAATGACAAGGACCTTACAGGAGGGAAACAAGTTCATTGCCACATGCTTAGATGTGGCCATTTGGATTTATCTCCCGTGCCTACCACCAGCCTTATTAACATGTACTCGAAATGCAATTCGATATCCAATGCATTATCTGTATTCTATACTTCACCAATTGATCATAATGTGTTTGCTTATAATGCTATAATAGCAGGGTTAATTGCCAATGATTTGCCTAAAAGTGCTTTTGAATTCTATTTCAAAATGAGGCTAGTTGGTATCATGCCTGATAAGTTCACTTTTCCTTGTGTGCTTAAGGCTTGTAAAAATGAAGTAGATTTGAAAAGGATTCACGGGTTGGTTTTTAAATTTGGGCTTGAAGTTGATTTATTCATCGGAAGTGCTTTGTTGCACAGTTATCTAATGTATAGGATGGTGGATTTTGCGTTAGATGTGTTTGAGGATTTGCCGGAGAGGGAAGATGTTGTGCTTTGGAATGCCATGATCAATGGATATGCTCAAACTGGAGAGTTTGGTAGTGCTTTGATGGTTTTTAGGTGGATGATTGAGGATGGGGTTATTCCCAACAAGTTTAGCATAACAGGTGTACTTTCAGCTCTGGCAAATTATGGGGAAGTTTATAATGGAAAGGTGATACATGGGTTTGTGATAAAAAAGGGTTTTGATTTGGGGGTTGCCATTTCTAATGCATTAATAGACATGTATGGTAAATGTAGCTGTGTTGCTGACGCTTTAGAGGTTTTCCAGACAATGGATGATAAGGATATATTTTCATGGAACTCAATAATTTGTGTGCATGAACAATGTGGTAATCACGAGGGAACTTTGAGGCTTTTCAAAAGGATGTTGTCTGCTAGAGTTCGTGCTGATTTGGTGACTGTCACCACTACACTTCCTGCCTGTTCTCATTTAGCAGCGTTGAGGCATGGTAGAGAGATTCATGGATACATGATTGTTAATGGTCTGAGGAAAGATACTGCTGACAAAGAATATGATGATACTTACATTGACAATGCAATTTTGGACATGTATGCCAAATGTGGAAGCATGCGTGAAGCTAAGCTGATCTTTGATATGATGAATTTCAAAGATGTGGCGTCGTGGAACATTATGATTAAGGGGTATGGCATGCATGGATTTGGCATCAAGGCATTAGAATTGTTTTCTGATATGTGTAAGGCAGAATTGAGGCCTGATGATGTCACATTTGTTGGGGTTTTGTCAGCTTGCAGCCATTCAGGGCTTGTAAAACAGGGGAGAGAATTTCTTGCCCATATGCAGCCGAAGTATGGTGTTGTGCCTTCTATTGAACATTACACCTCTGTGATTGACATGCTAGGTCGTGCTGGGCAGCTTGAAGCTGCTTATGAGTTGTTATTAACAATGCCCATTAAGACCAATTCTGTCGTATGGAGAGCGTTCTTGGCTGCCTGCCGTCTACATGGTAATGATGATCTTGCTAAGGTTGCTGCAAAACAGGTACTTGATCTTGAACCAGATCATTGTGGAAGTTATGTCATATTATCAAATGTGTATGGACAGACTGGTCGCTATGAAGAGGTATTAGAGATAAGAGATGCAATGAAGCTACAAAATGTAAGGAAGACACCTGGTTGTAGCTGGATTGAACTTCATAATGGTGTCCATGTCTTTATTACTGCTGATAAATCACATCCTGAAGCCAACCTTATTTATGCTGGATTGAATTCTTTAACAGCGCGATTGTGTGAGCATGGTTATACACCAGAATCTGATGCCTTGGAAAGCAGTCCATGATATTCCAGACTTATTCTCCGTTGTTCTAGATGAAGATTCCTGAAGCACTGACTGAAAGAAGGTTCTTACAATATCTATTTGGGAAACCTAGCAAGTGTGTGAGTTCATTTTGCTTCTCATGGAAACCAATGTCTATGTATGCTGGTGCTCCGAAAATAGCCCGAGTTATCTGTGTGCTTTTGCAGATAAACTTTCTATTGAAAAATGAAAAGTATGTTTTCTTCACTTTTGGAGCATATCATTTTGCAGCATCTGCTATAACCAAGGGGATATTAAGTGCAACTAAGGACTATGCTTCTCTTTTTGATGTTGACGGTCATTGAATGTAAGTGTTCTCTATCATATGGGCATTTCCACTGCAGTTTTTTTGTAGGCTTATTTAGTATTCAGAACTTGCACACTGAATGTTGTTACTCTTTATCATAATCAATATGTTTCTTCATTTCTTCTGAAGTATAATTTTTAGCGATCTACCTACTGTATATATGAATTCTGGTCATCAAACTTCTTTGTAAGTCTTGAAAATGGTGAAGGAAAGGCTAAGGTATTCTGGGAAAATGCCATTAACTTTTTTTTGCCGGCAAAAGCCGGGTATTTAAGTTGAGAAGGATTGAAGGGAGGGCTCATTATTCACCAAGTGTTGAATCATGCGTCACTGGCCCTTGGGGATTTCTGGCTTTAAAAAAAATTGAAAATGTTGAAGGAAATGCTGAAGTATAGGTTCTGTGAAAATTGCCAGCATTCTGGTCAGCCATAGCTTGTTTTATTTTCCAGATTTTCAAATACTAAGTAGTGACAATATAAATCATTTGTTTGTCTGCATCCTACCAACTATATTTTATTAACCTTACCTTGCTGAATGTGAAGCTACAGTAGGTTCCTAAGAAAGCCTGCATTAGGCATTCTATAAAGCAGTTGATATGTCTCTCCTTTAGGTTTAAATTTTGGTTCTTTTGCTTAAACCTGTAAAATAATCTCTTAGCCAAAGTTAAAATAGTGATAAACTGCTACTATGGAACAACAGGAACTATATGGAGACCATTCCTAAACAGGCATCATGAATTATACAGAAGATCATGAAGGCATCTAGGTATTTCACAGAAGCAGGACATGAACTAACTGATATTTATAACATGAACCAGTTCCCAACAAGATGGTTCTATCAGAAGATTAGAGGAGAGTTTCCAAAGGTGGAATGGCAGGAACTGATATGCAATAACCTTGGAATTCCTAACTGGTCATGGAAGATGATTTGGAAAACCAGATCACCTATGAAAGCAGCTTTTTTGGTTGGCTAGCAGCTAGGGATGCTTGCCAAGCACAACACAAGTTACAAAGGAGAGGGTTTTCCTTGTGCAGTAGCTGATATTTCTGCAATTTAGAGGAGGAAACAGTTGAACATCTTTTCTTGCATTGCAGATTTCAAGACAATGTTGGGAACTTTTCTCTAACATAATGGGCATATCTTTGGTGTCACCAGAGAAAATTAGTAGCTTGTTGGAAGTGTGGCGATTTGTTTGAGGATGTCTGAGGTGGTGCCGATCTGTTTACTGACCTCTCTCACTAAGGAACGGGTAATTTGCGTAATTTATATAGTGCCTAAATTGTTTACCTGTCTTGAAGATGCCTTGGTATAATTAGCTATTATCTAGCTTTAATTAGCATCATAATATTGGGGTTTTAAGTACCATTTTTATGTGTGCACAAACAGGCTCAGACAGGCGGAAACGACCATCATTAAAAAAATGTACTGTTTGTTATGTCGTTACTAAAAAATAAAATAAATTAACAACCCAAGCTTTTGTTGCTGAAACAATGAATTTGAATCCTTCTATCTAACAGGTGCTCACAACTGTTTATGGAATACATATTAACATACTGTTGTTTAATGCTGCTTCATCTATCCTTGACAATATATTGTGTTTAAGAAAGTTGTTTATGTTGAAATTCATCTGATCCTGGGATGTGGATGTAGAATTCCAGTCATTCAGATTAAACTCCATTGAGGCTTTGCGTTGCATTATTTATTTATTTGTTTCTAACTCTAGCATTCTTTATTTTATGTCTTATCTAAGGAGCTCTGAGATTTTACTACTTTGGCTAATGCAGGTGTGAGTCCAGAAGATTGTTCCTACACGATACAAGCTCTCATTTTTTTCTCCTAGAAGGTTACAGACTTGCAGCAGTGTTTTTCCCTTCCATTTGTGCTCAGGGGCCAATGCTCTAAGTTTAAATATTGCTTCAATTATCTGGCAGCGTTTGGCAGTAGATGCTTAAAATTATTTTGAAGTCTTATGGAACATAATATCAGCTAATCTTGATGAAGCACAAGGTACTCTCCCTCTTAATTTGTTTGTGCACTCTTGGCTACAAATTTGACCAATTGTTGGCGCTAAATCAGACTAAATTAAATTTATTTTGTCAGAGAAAGCATAAATGACCAGAAACTGCACTAAAACTCGTGGAATTAGACTACGTGCTCGCAAGCTGGCCCAAATATCGTGGTTATTTAAAAGAATAGTTTTCAAATTTCGTTTGGTTTGAATCTCAGGAAGCAAAAGTGATAAATATTTAAGAACAGATAAGAGTCCCCTACTAGAAGTGAAGAAAAGAAAGAAGGAAAAAGGTGTAAGAAATAAGTAGCAGCATTTATATTTGGATCGTTGGGGAAAATGTTTAAGATTTTGATGGGGACTTAATAAGCAATGTAGCATAAGTTTACCTAAGACTCGCATGCTTTGGTTGGTATTTTTTTCATAGGCAGATGTATTGTCCAGAAAAATAATATGCCTTTTGTTTTGCATTGTTGCAGGGCATCTAACAATTCTTCATAGCCGTAGAGAGTGTCGTATGATACTCTCTCATCAACTTGGCTATTATTTTCTTCTAAACAACCTGGTTTGGGCCTACTAATCTCAGAGAAAGAAAGCTCGCTTTCACCAAGTCACAGCCAAGACAAGCTATGGTTCTCGGAGGAGCCTTCAGTTCGATGCTCATCAGAGTAAGTAGGAACAATAAGTGGTTTTCTTTTGGCGCGTTCAGTTTGAGCATAGCAACATGTGGTTGTTTTGTTGTGTTTTTGCCAGAAACAAATGGCAGAACATTTATTTAGTGATACACAATGGATGAAGAGGAGAACAAAGACAAAACATTTGTCTGTTGTATTGTTTCTGGTTTCTGAGTAAATTTGGCCATTTCTAGTTTACTTACTTATTGATGTTATAGTTGTGTATTTCAATGACTGAACTGGATTGGTGTCTTTGTCATTTAATTTTAGTATCCAAATCGGTGGTAGGTATCCCGTGGAATTAATTCAATTCATATATTATAGAACTATATTAAATTAATATTTGAAAAAAATAGTTTGATAGGAAAATCACTTATGACAAAGTTTAATTGTCATGGTTTTCTTTTTTAGAGTCAAACTATAAGAACTTTGACTAGCATTTTATGATGCATTTTTTCATTGTATTGATATGCAAAAAAAATGCAACTTACAGTACTTTTTGTATAGTTTTTAATTATCTAATTTTTTTGTTTAAAATATCGAATTAATATAATCTAATTTAACTTTGAAAATTAGTCAAATTGACTTTTGAAAAGTACAACAAGACAATTAAAAGTGAACGGAGGGAGTAATAGCTTAGTTAGATTTTCTATACTTAAATTGCAGAACATTTATATATAATTTGTCCCAATTTTTTTTTGTTGATTCTATTTGAGAAACAAATTATTTACTTTGTCTTGGAAAAATAATTAAAAGTCACTAACATTTTACCTCAGCTTTATTTTGTTGATAATTCGTACTGCACAAATGCGTTTTATTCATTAGTGATCTTCAATGCATTTCCTTGTATTCCCTCTGAGGCCCAAGTTGCAGAGAACAATCCAAACTGAGGCAATCTTTCCGGATTCGCTCCACCTTACAGCCTTGCTTTCTATTGTAATTGCCATTGTAGCGTCTTTCCGATATATTGAATTATCATCCCTAATCTAAGATAGTGTGATGCCACCAACAGTCGATTTATTAGACTGCTCCCCTTAGTTGAATCTTCAGGCCTGCCAAAGACTGCGTAATTGGATTTGGTGTAATTGCGTGTAATTATACTATTTGGTGTGTTTGTTTGGTCATGTAATTACTTGGTCAACACATAATTGAGTGTGATTGGACAATTACGCTCTCCATTTCTCAGGAAAGGGCTGTGAATTGTAGGTAATAATATGACGTAATTACAAGCTGCTTACTTTTACATTTCTTCTTTTTATTTCTATTTTTATTTTTTTGTTTTAAAATTTATTTTTTCTTTCAATTGTTTTAACTTCTTTTTTATTTTATTATTCTAAAAATTTCTATTTTTAATTTTTTTTTATTATTTATATTTAATTTCCTTCTCATTCTCAACCTTTACAACATGTGATTCCATGCAAATTTTTTTGTGTTTTCTATTTTTTTTATGTCATGTTCATTTTTTTCATTAGCATAATTTTGTTAGTATCCTAATTTTTAAACTAAAGTAGAATTTATCGTTGAGAAAGGTTATAGACTTACGTTTTTTTAATTAAAAAAATCATATTTATGTATGATATGTTTAAATTTGGCATAAAGGTATTATGTTAGATTTTTTGTTTTGAAGTTAGAACGTACGTTATATTTTCAGTTTCATTTGTTTTTTAGTTAGACTTGATACATTATCTTTTTATTAAATATTTTAATAATTTATGACATTTTATTTATAATATTAATCTTTTTGTCAAACATGCATTTCATAATGCTAATAGAAATCTTGTACTTTTAGTTTTTATGATTAATTTAATTGAAGTATACTAAGTTGAAAAAATATAAATCAATTATTTTTTATAATATTAGTTAAGAAAATATGTTTATTAGTAATTAATATATTTTCAAAAGAGAATATATATTTTACATATTTATTTTAGTATCATTTATAAATTTTTAACTTTTATTTTTTATTTTTAAAATTTAATATGATCTTATGATTCCAGTTGTGCACAAGATTTTGTAATCACGAAGCTGATAATTACTATTCTATTAATTACGTACACCAAATCCAATTACCAGGTGACTTTCCAAACAAACACTTAATAGAATTAATGGAATTAGAATATATTATATATCTATTATTTTACAAGAACTTCACTTGATTGCATATCTTATTCCACCACTTTATTAATTTATCCTCACATAAATGCGTATACACTTGGTATATATATTATACACTTATTATATACAATTATACACATATTATATATAAAAATTAAAAGGTATATGGTATGAGGTAAAAAAAAAGTAAGGGAAAATTACACTAATTGAATCCATTAGGCAAAATATTTATCCAAATTGGACCCAACTCAATATATTTAACCTTATTGAACCCACGACCCAAATCATTTACCCAAATCATTTACCCAACTGCCTCCTTGTTCTATTCATTGAAATACCATCGAAGTATCTATACGCTTTGATAGTATCTATATACTCTAATGGTATTTAGCAGTAATTGAGCAATTTTTTCACTGAAACACTATTTGTTCTTCCTTGATACCATCATAGTATATATACTATGATATCAAGAATAACTGAGTAGTTTTTTTCACTAAAACATTGTTTCTTCCTCTTTGATATCATAAAAGAATATAGATATACTTTGATGGTATCAAACAGTAAACATGCATTAATAGTTAAAAACAAGGGGTATAAAAGTAAAAAGGTAGTCGTTTGTAAATAGTTTCATTTTTTTTGGATACAAGTATTCTTTTCCCAAAAAATAATGGCATGGATAAATACTATAATGGTAATAAAGTTTTACTCAAGTAATACTCTCTACGTGTACTTCGAGCATAGATACTTGCTAATTCTGTGGATAAATCTATGAGAAATTGATATAAATAGCCAACTATTGAAGTAATAGCCAACAAATGTACATATATAAAAGTATTGAGGAAAGGTGATTAGACATGACATAACATAACTTTATTTTATCGAGACATGACCTTAAATAAGAGGTTGTAGAGGTTATGAATTAAAGTAGAAAGTTAGTAGGTAGTGGAGTATTGTCTTGCTTTTCGACGGATTAATTTATGCCTAGTGGTGTCTGTATGAGCCTTATTCTTGTGTCTTGTTTTTTTTTTCTATCATCATTTGTTGTTTATGGTGTTTTGATTTTATACTATTTATTGTTGTTACTATTTACTTACTAATTGTAATATTTTCTTCACTATTACTATTTGATGTGTTATCGTCAGGCTCATGATGCAATCTCTTTATCTTTATAACATAGTGATAAAATTTGAGTACACTCTCTCCTCCCAGATGACACCGATGAATTTCTCAAAATATATTATTATTATTATTATTATTATTATTATTATTATTGTTGTTGTTGTTGTATATAATATACATAAATTATAAAAAATTTAAATATAAAATAATATATAGTATTATTTTTCTTATATTTGTCTAACAAATATAACTATTTTTAGAAAGGGATAAAATCCTTTTCCACCTTCAACAACATCTATAAACTGATTATTCTTAACTGTAAACCACCCATTCCCACCAAAACAATTTTTTTGGTGTTTTTGGAAGAGGAGAAAAGGGTGATAAAAGAAGAATGCCAACTCTTAATTTGTTCACAAATTTACCAGTAGATGCAGTTATTGCTTCTGATATTCTCAAAGATGCTACTAAAGCTGTTGCAAAAATCATAGGCAAACCAGAGTCAGTTAAGTCATTTAGGACTTTTTTCTGTTTTCATTCATATTTATATTGACTGCTACCTGTTTGATAATATTCCTCTGAGAAAAGTTTTTATCAATTATTTAGTGGTAATTGTAAGTATCTTTACTTCTAATTTTTTAGGTTGGAAATGAAATTGGTTTAGTAGTAGTTACATAATTCCACTCATCAGGATGTATTTTTTTAAAAAAAAAATAAAATTGGGGGTAGGGGACGTAGAAATGGGAGAGGGGATTACAAGGTGGGGAATCGGTGAAAGTTTAGGTACCAACCAACTAAGTTACCAAGATTCTCCCTTAACACAGGTTTTTGAGTCATGTGGTACCTTTTTTTTGTTAGTATAACCATATGCTATCCGGAATTCCCGACTAATTCCATTTAAGGGAGCTG